GTCCAGATATTCAAGATTTTAATTTTGAAAAAGCATATGAACATTGGACAAATAAAAAAGTAAGAATAAATAGTTATCCAATATAAATTTTAAAATTTTTTTTCATTTTGGTGATGATCAACAAATGTGCGCATTTTTTATGTAATACACGCGCCCGCACACAATTTCACACACTGCTTTTGATGACAGCAGCAATAATGGTGGCAGATCTGATAAAAGTTGAAATTTTAGCAAACTATATAGTAATAGTGGTAAATTTAAAAAAGGGGGATGATTTTCAGATCAAGAACATGTGATCTACATTACATTCTCATTTGTAAATTCGTTATCTGAAGAAACAATTACTATGTTTATATTTTAATGCTAATATATGTGATTAGTTATACAGATTAATTATCATAAAATTTATTATTACATTACAGAATTAAGAATTAATTTAAATTGTGCAAATCATTTGTCAGTTCATTCTTTCAGATTGCCATTCTTCATTATTAATGAAACAAAGCATTGTAAATGCATTATATTTAAGATCACAATCTGACAACAATTCAGAAGTTATTAAAAAATATCTGAAACAAATACAAATAAAAGACAATTAATAATTAACAATGGTTATTTTAATAAATGACAGTAAATAATAATAGCACATACTGTGAAGGTTGATGACATGAAGTTTCAATCATATGATTATGAACTAAGTATTCATTTTTAGGATCCATTCCTTGGTTAATCTCAACAACACAAAATGGTGTTTTGGCCAATTCTTGTAATGCCATTAAATACATGATAGTTGATACAGATCTTTCCTGTAAAATAATATTTTGTATAAATAATTAATAAAAATCATGTGTTTTTTTCTCTTTTTATCTTACTACTTATACATACATCTACTGATTGCCTTTGACCAATCAATAATTGTAATTCTTCATCATCACTTTTTTATTTAATTTTTTTTTGATTTGTTAATTAATATATTATTATTTTTAATATATAATTTTTTAAAAAACATAAACATGTGCCTATGCAAATGTATATTTTAAAAATTCACATGCCTAAAATTTACCAGAATATTTATATCCCATTTATCATAATCTTCATGAGTGTTGATATGCACTTCACCAGTACATCCGATTTCTAACCAATATTAAAAAATTTTAAAACTTTGTATATAATAGTGAAAAATATTTATAACATAATAATGATGATGATAACAGTTACTATTAAATGCATTTGAAAAGAGTTCACCAATTTTTCTAACCAATTCATATAATTTAGGATCCCATTGCTCCTATTATACAAAAAATACATTTACATTTATCCTTATGTATGTGTGCATATATAAATGTGCAATGTATGATAAATGATACCTTTTCCTTTGCAATTTCATCATTTAGTTCTTTTAATGATAATTCTCTTTTTTCTTTTTGAGATCTAAGGAAAACAATCTAAAAAAAAATTAAATATAAATTAAAAATTTGGATTCCATAACTACAAACAAACATATAAATTATTGATCAATACTTGAGCTTGTCTTTCATTGTATGAATCTATAATGTTAGGATCAACCTCATTATAAAGGTTTATATTTTCTTTTTCATGATCAATAGCATTTCTAATTTCTTCTAATGTCATTTTTTGTGATATCTTAAAAATAAAATAAAAATTATCAAGTAACGTCAAAATTATTTAAAACTATTTCAATATTCATTTTTTTATAATTAATTAATTACTTCTTGAAGTTCTGCTCTTGTCACATCATCAAGTTTATTTATCAACTTATCTGATTCTTGGCAATGATATGTCTTCTTTTCTTCAATTTCATCAAATCTTCTGGTGACTTCATTTTTTTAATACAGAAACAAATGTAATTAACATCTATGATTATGACTTAAAGTTAACAGAATTCATGTTAAAACCAAGTCTATCAGATGTTTGCCTCAAAATATCTTTCTTTTCTTGTATTTGGCTACCTAACTCACCATCATCTTTCAAAACTTGAGTTAAGTTCTGATCTACTTTATTGCAAATTACATATATATCATTGGTTTTTTTTAATAACAACTTTTACCATTGTTATCATTATTTATTATCATGATTAATTTAAAATGTATGACCATTAATAATTAACATAATGAGGCAAAGTATAAAATGAGAGAGGGAAAAAGTGGGAAAAAACCTGGTATCTATTAAAGTTTTAGATTTCTTCCTTGCTATTTCACAAAGGGTTTCTTCTAGGAAAATTTCTTTTTCTTTAATTGATTTGGACAAATCAATTTCACATTGTAAATCAATTTTCCTTTGTTCTAAATTTAACAATTAATTAATCAACATTATTAATGTATATTAAAATATATATACTTACTGACATATAATATTAAAAATATTATTTATATTTACCCAATTCAATTTTTTTTTGTGTATCATCACTAAATAATTGTTGTTTAATTGAATTTTCTAGTTGAGAAACTTCCAATCTAATTTGTGTGATTTGTTCTCCTCTGTAATTAGCTCTTTTAATAGTTGATAATTCCTTATATATTTCATCTGTTTTATCATTCTACATTTATATGTGTGTATGTGTATATGTAAATTATATATCAAAATATGATAATCAATATAATTATTAACAAAGATGACATACCAATCTTTTTAATTTATTAGATAGCTGTTGAAGTTTACATTCTTGTGCACTATGCCAACTGGAATACACCCCCTTTCTTTCTGTTGCATCAATGATAATTTTTTCATATTCACTGATAAAAAAAAATATTAGCAAAAATAGCAAATAATTGTTATTCAGATATTAATCAATAAATATTAACCTTTTACTGTCATTAACAAGTTGATTTTCTTGAAGAAGTTGTTCAACTGCCCTTTTTTCTCTCTTTGTTTCCTCAAATGCAGCCCCCGCAAATGAATATTGTGCACTTGAAATTTTAGCTTGATATAATTGAATCTATTCATTCAGATTCAAATATGAAATATTATTAAAGATAAATATGTATGCATTTATGTTTATATATGAATGTGTTTGTAACAATGACCTTTCTTAGAATTGCTTCTCTTTCCTTGAAATGTGTAACATCTTTTTTCAAAACTGCATTTATTTTTTCCAAGTTATTAAGTTCATCATTATCTGTATTTGATTCCTATAAAATGTATAAATATATATATTCAGCTAATCAAATAACATTATATTGAGAAAATGAAAGAATGAATATGAAAAAAAAATTTGAATTACTGATAACAAATTCTTTTGTTCACTAATTAAACGAATAAAAACAAATAAAAATGAACAAAACGAACATAAGGAAAAAAACGAACAAAAGAATAAAACGAGTAAAAACGAACAAAACGAACAAACGGACAAAATGGACAAAACAAACAAAACGAATAAAATGAGTAAAAACGAACAAAACGAACAAAACGAACAAAAACGAACAAAACGAACAAAATGAATAAAACGATAAAAGGAACAAAATGAATAAAACAAGTAAAAACGAATAAACTAATAAAAACTAATAAAATGAATAATAATAAAACAAACGGATAAAACGAGAATAAAATGGATATAAAACGAAGAATTTGTATTATGATAGGAACTCTAGCCCAATTCAACAATTTTTAAACATTTTGCATTTCGTTTTAATTCTCCGCAAATAACTGCGATGTATACAAGCTTTTAAACTTGTTGAACGTGAATTTAATTATGATTCATTGTGATGCGAATTTAATTATGATTCGCTTTAATTATAATTTGTTAAAACAAAGGTTTTTTTGACTGTATCCATATATGTCAGAACCTAAAAACGTTTTTTATTATAAGTACAAATATTGTTAAAACATGGAATCTCTCATTTGAATTTTTTAAAATTTTCGGAATTTTTAGTTGCCAATTCTTTTCGGTGGTTTGCAAAATCGTGATTTTATAAAAAAATAGTATCAAATTTCGAGCTCGTTCGGAGCTTTAGCCTTGGTATCATTACTACCTGGGTGATGCAATTGTTTGTTATGTCAATGATGATATCAAATGTATCAAATAATCATCATGACCATCATGAAGATTTGATGGATGGAGGCATTCACATAAAAGGAAATGATTAAATAGCTAAGTAATGTTTGTTTTATTAAAGATATATAATTTAATTATATTTAAAAAATTATTATTTTATTTCACCTTTGTAATGGTATTAATTCTGAAATTGTTTGTTTCTTAGTGTTAATGATTGAATCAATCACACAAGTGTTGTTAAATGGTTTTTTTATTTATAATAATAATTTTAATATTTTTTTTAATATATCAACCTCTATCATATTTATAGATTTTAAAATTTCTTTTTTGATTAAAAAAAAAAAAATTTCTAACATTTGTTTATTTTTTTAGTACATTTCAATTAGATTTTATTAGATCAAATGATACATTCAGCAAAAATCTCAGAAGATTACATTGTGCATTAATTCTAAGATAAAAAATTCTGTTTTAATGTTTTAGTATAATCAACAATTTTCTTCAATTGTTTTTTTTTAGAAATAACAATAATTAATTATCTTTTATTTATTTGTTTATCTGTTTTAGTTGATCAATAAATCTCAGGTCTCAAGATAATTTATCTTATCCATTTTTAGTAATAATAAATAATTTAAATCTAACATATTTATTTTTCATGGAACCAATTGAGGATTTTTATTTTCTCTTTTATAAGGCTCCAAACAAATTGAATTGATTCGAATCAACTGGATTCCTAAAATTTTTTTAATGTCATATTAAATTTATATTTTTAATTTGATAATTTAAATATTACACAGTGAATCTCAATTAATGTGCCTCAATTAAATGAATACTAATGGATTGAGGTCTAAGAATGGTTTAATGATAATAAAATTCTTCTTGATATGATATTTATTCAAGTTTTTCATTTTTCCATGATAATAATAATGGATTTCTTGATATTAATATTAATGGTCATGTGACAAGTTTTGAATATAACAATAATGGACTTTTGGAAAAAAATTTCTAAACACAAACTATCTGCTAACTAAGATTGTGTATATTTTAAATTTTTTAATCGATAAAGAATATTATTTAGTGATAGTAGCCAAAACTGTTTTGAAAAAAAGATAGTTTCGTCCAATAAGTATCTAAATCAATCTACTTTATTTTAAAAACTCCCAATTTCAGCCATTAAAATTAGTTTCGTCAAAGTTTAGGCCAATTAATTTCGGCAATTAAGCGTAGTTTTGACCACCATCACTAGTTTGAATCGAGTTGAGTTGAATCAGTTCAAATCAAATTATACATTCAAGTCAGTTCAAATCGAATCAGTTTGAAATTATATATATTTAATATTTGAATCAAATCGAATCAGGGTACAATTCAAATTTGGTTCAATTCGATTAGAACTGATTCGAATCAAAAATTAGGTGATTCGATTCGATTCGAATTTGAATTGATTCGAATCAGTTCAAATTTCATTGATTTGTTTGGAGCCTTACTTTTTTATATCAATTATTGAATATATATTTCTGATATTTATTCACAAATCCACTCAAATTTAATTCTTTCTGCTTACTTTGCTTGTCATCACAAGACCAATTTCAATTTTAAAATAAATGAAAACCTACAAAGTGAACATGAAATTATAAAATTATATATATAGGGATAGGTGTATATGAAAAGTAATAATAAATATAATGGTTCTAATGAATATCAAAAAGCAATTGATTTTTTAGAAAAAGGTTGTAATTGTGGTTGTTCTTCAAGAATTCCCAAGGAACAATTTGCAGAATTAAGAGAATCTTTTCAAGCTCTTTCCAAGTCTGAACAAGATATATTTTTAATGGCTCAGCTTAAAGCAATGGATGGTGGATTAACAAACACTAGCAGACGCCTTAAAAAGAAAACTAGGTCTAATAAAAGAACTTTCTATCATTGGGATCACAACACACAAGAAACTTATCTCAATATGTTAGGGATTGGCAGAACTTATTTTGAAAATATCAGAAATCATCTGATAAAAAATGGTCTTTTGCCAAGAATTCATGGCAATATTAAAAGAATGCCTCAATGGAAAACTAAAATGGTGATTGACAAAAATGTTGCTGAAATTGTAAAGAATTTTCTAGAAAATTATGCAGAAGTCCATGGATTACCAAGTCCAGGAAGAAGTATTAATAGAATAACCCAATCAGTTATCTTTTTACCAACTGAAATGAGTTATAAATCAGTGCATAGAGACTTTCTGGCTGGCCTAGAAGAAGATAACAAATTGAAACTTTTAAAATATGATGCCTTCAGAAAGTTATGATATCAATTGATACCAGAAATTCAAATCATGAGTCCAAGGACTGATTTGTGTGATACTTGTCAACATTTTAGAGATGGTTTACATTATAATGCTCGCCAAGAGGAAGAAGCTAAAGATTTGCTTAAAAGATTTAAAGAACATCTGTCCAAGGCAAGATTAGAAAGAAATTATTATAATAAAAACACCAAATTATCAGAAGAACAAAGAAAATTAGTTGATCAAAATTATTCAAAGGGCAAAACAAAATATTGCGGTATTGATGCTACTGCTCATTATAGTTATGATTGAGCCCAAAATGTTCATGTACCCCATTCAGATCAACAAGTAAGTAAAATATATTACCTTAGTCCATGTAAAATCCATTTGTTTGGCATTCAAGATGAAGCAATAAGGGAACAAATTAATTATGTTCTTAATGAAAATGAAATCATAGGTAAAGGTTCCAATGGTACACTTAGCATGATTTTTGATGGAATTAAGAAATTGAATAAAGGTGAAAAGCATTTAAAGATTACTTGTGATAATGCTGGTGGACAAAATAA